AGGGATGTGCTATGCAAAAATAATAATAATGTTGGAAAATAAAGGAAAAATTTAAATAATGTATTAATATGCCAAATTCTAATACATTATATATAAACACATCCAGAGCTTTCACAGTATAAACATTTTACTTGTATTTAACACTTTTACAATTTTACAGAGGATAACTGATTCTTAGCATATTTTAAAAGACAATGGAAAAACTACTGTTTATCCCACTGTGCTCAATGTCTTAAAATGAATATGCAAATGTTATACATTGTTATTCAGATTACTCTTAAGAAATTTAATCTTCAGGAAGAAAGAATTGTAAAGACAGTGGCATATTAATGTCAACCTTTATAAAGACACTTTTCTTTCATGATTTTGATGCAAGTAATTACAGTACATCAGGCATATAATTAACTGCTAATCTAATGTATACAATCACTATATATGTACAAATATTACACTTACTAGTGGAGTCCCTGCTTGAATTGGATTGATTGGTAATATCTGCTGTATGGGGTTAAAAAGTCTTAAAACTTAGTATTTAAATCAAAGGTCTCAGTAGTTTAGACATATCATGAACGTGTTAGTATAAATAAAGTCTCTAAAAACAATTCAGAAACCAAAAAGTGCTATAGAATACAGTGCCTTCATATTAGATTCACAAGCTTCCATGTGTAATTATTCATTATGCTATGTGCTGCAGAGTCGAATAACATCATATTCCACAACTGTGTAACATCACATAAATGAGTTGTTTATGTTCAGAAGTAGTTTTCATATTACACATCTTTCTAAGATGTCTGATTTAAGTATCTTTAGTAACCGTAAATGCTGCTATCAAGACTGAACTGTTCGCGAATGCCTTCCATCAATACTTGTTGGAACAAAGCAACTCTGTCGTCAAGAATCCCAAGAAAGCTAAACTGATATTCCAGTAGCTCTGCGGCCGCTCTCTCCACATTCTGTTGCTGAATCTTTTCTTCCGCTTCTTTAAACATTTCCTGAGTGAAGCATTCTCCCCCATTTACTGCCACCATTTCATCAATTTTCACAATTAATCTACTCACTTGAGCTCGATTATTCCTGGCAGTGTTATTAAAAACAACATATCTACTACCACAACTCTGAATGACTTTACGGAGTTCTGCATGGCCGTTTTTCACATATTCTTCAATTGTTTGGCCATCGAGTGCATCTCCATGAGTGAAGACCACTATCATGTATTTTGAAGCTTCTTGTCCGAAGAGCTCTTGCAGGGCCTGGACTGATCTTTGCTCCTCGGTAGTGAAACGGCCAATCTGTATCACCAGCAGGAACACGTGAGGACCTGGTGCTGAGACCTGTATACATCTCACTATTTCTCTTTTGATGAGGTCTTTTGATTTGCTAGTATCCAAGATTCCAGGTGTGTCAATCACATAAATCTCTCTTTGGTCAAAGACCATTGCTTTTTTGCACCGCTCAGTGACAGAGTTTGCAGAAGGGCTTGATTCAAAAACCTTTCTACAAAGGATAGTGTTTCCCACAGCACTTTTTCCCACTCCAGTTTTTCCAATCAATACTATGCGAAGTGATGGATCTATCAATACAGCAAAGGATGAAAAAAAAAAAGATAATGAAACATGTACAGACAAAATCAGCTGCCTTGGATGGACTGTATAAAACAGAGTTTTGCGTTTTAAGCCTGGCCCATGATATTGTATCATATTAATATACATGTATGCTTTATGATGCAAATCCATAATTTCTTTTGATGTACATCAAAAGTATATGAGTCATATACTCATCACAAATTAATACTCATTAATAAATCATATATTACACTTATCTGTCCTTTAGCTTTGAAGTTAACTTATTGTATTTTTAATGCACATTTTATGTTTTTACAAAAATTACTCAAACAATAATTGACAGATTCCTTGTTTGCTTTCACAGAATATTTGACAATAGACTTTAGACATTAGATACTTTCAATTTACTCACAAAGTTCTAAACTATTTAAACATGATAAATGTTTGAGCAGTTTTGAGCTTTCAGCAGTTTACTAGAAACCATACTATACATTCAAGTAAAAAAGTTTTAGCACACAACTTACGTCGTGGAATATTATAGGGGCAACAACGCCAGCACTTAGAACAGTTCATTTCCTTCAGCAACAGTTTCTCTCGTAAACGACTGAACGACTGAACTAATGCGTGACCCTATTAGTACCAGTTTTTCTTGTGACGCCACCAGTTTATAAATTTTTTTTTGCATATATCTAGCTTTTACTTTCGTTTGATCACTATTTTCCTGCTTCGCCTCATGACAGATATAACCACAGGTGTTTCTCGCAACCTGGAGAACAGACTGGAAATTCAACATGCCAAAAGGTAAAATATAGTTGTTAGTTTGAGAGTTTTTGATCGGCTTTTTAAAGATTTTGCTCTTTTGCTAATTTTCTTTATATTCTCTGCCACTTTTGATATGTTTACTTCAAAATTGTCTATTGCATTTAATTGTGAGAAAACCATTTTCAATCTTCATAGGAGAAAATAAAACTGCACAAGTTTCAGACGATGACACTGTTGTCACCGTGGTGCTGCTGGGACAAAACAGCGCTGATAAGTGCCTGATAGGAAACACCATGCTTGGGTATAACTGCTTCCAGCCAGGAAAGTCCATGTATCAAAAGGCTCTAGGAAGAATGAGGGACGAGCTGCTTTACATTATAAACACCCCAGACCTTTTCTGGAGAATATGCCAAGAACCAGAAGCCAATGCTTTAGAGGAGATGAAGCCATCATACACGGGTCCACGCATGTTCCTCCTGGTTCTCCACGATAAACAGCTGTCCCAGGAAGAGGTGGAGATGTTTACCCAAATGAAGGAGAGATTTGGAGAGAAAATGACAAAAAATATTACTGTAGTGTTGATCGACAACAAAGAGACATCAAGACAGTCCTGCAGCATAGTGGATATAAACCTCAAAAAGATTGTACATGAATGTGACGAGAGAATTTGCGTCTTCAGCAAAGATACGGCAGACTCAGATCTGGTCAGACAGCTTCTGATACATATTACGAAAACGCCAGAGAAAGTAGAAGCTGATCCTGGCAGGTAAACTTCTACAAATGAGAAACATTTGGTATTGTCTCTTGTATTGTTCACAAAGCTTATTTTTATCTTTTCCCCTAAAGTTCATCATTATCCTGTAGATTACATGAAGACATGAAAAAGGAAGTTGATCAGAAGGAAAACGATGACTCAGAACAACCAAAGACAATGCCAGGTAATGCTTACTTATGTTTAATTATCTGAAATTATTAATATTCTAGTCCAACTCCAAATGCTGCACTGAAAATGTTTTTTAATGAAAGCAAACTTACATTCAAAAGTTTGGGGTCAGTATGTTTTTTGTACTTTTTTTTTTTTTTTAAGAAATTATATTTTATTCAGCAATGCTGTATTAAAATTATAATCACATTGATCCAAAATTCACAGTAAAGACTTTTACAGATTTCAATTTCAAATAAATGCTGAGAACTTTCTACTGATCAAACTAACTTGAAAAAAATCTATATCACAGTTTCCTCAAAAATATTAAGCAGCACTGTTAAGCACAACTATTTTGAACATTGATAATTTTTTTTAAAAATTAATAATGTTAGGATCATGTGACAAAATTCAGCTTTGCCATCACAGGAATAGATTCCATTTTTAAATATTCTGAAATAGAAAACAGCTCTTTTAAATTGTAATATTTCACAATACTGCTGGTTTTATTTTATAGTTGATCAAATAAATGCAGCCTTGATGAGAATAAGAGACTTCTTTCAAAAAAAAAATTTGTTTTTAATTATTCATTCAAATTTTTTTTATTATTCATAAGGGGAGGATGTGAATGTCAAATCATTTGGAGGTGACTGCAATATCATCACCATGGTGCTTCTGGGAGTGAACAGCAATGACAAGTGCCTGATAGGGAACAGTATTCTCCAGCATGATTGTTTCATGGCTGGAAAAGTCACATGTGAGAGGGTTGTGGCTAGAGTAGCTGATCAGATGGTCTGTATTGTCAACACTCCTGACCTTTTCTATAAACCAAGCCCAGATTCAGTAGCTGACAGTATGGAGGAGATGAACCCATCATATGCGGGTCCACGTATGTTCATCATGGTACTGCAGGACAAAACTCTCTCACAGGAAGAGATGGAGATGTTCGCCCAACTGAAGCAGAGATTTGGAAAGAAACAGCTTGAAAACATGCTTGTTGTGCTCATAGGTAACGAAGAAAATAACTTAAGAGAGACCTTTGAAGCTGATAAGACCCTCAAAAAGATTCTAGATGAGTGTAAGGAGACGGTTTATGTTTACAGGAGTAATGTGAAAAGCACTGAGCTGGTCGGACAGCTTATAGGACAAAAGAACATGCAAGCAGGAATCTGAGAAAAACTGAATATACCAGTTAGAAATCAGCTCAGTCCATCTAATATGTTCTGTGTGATTGATATCGTGCCATAAAACAGATTTTACTAAATACAAAAGAAGAGTTGTAATCCTACAGTGTAATGTCTATGTGTAACCAAAAGATGCAATAAACATATGCAACACAACCGCCAACAATTCCTTCATACAATCTCACTACCATCACGAATCTGAAATCAATCACTGTTCAAACACAGTTTCCAGTAACAGACTGTAATAGATGGAAACTGGAGTTGTTATTTGTTTAAAACTGCCAAAAGCTATTTTCACTAACTCCACCCACCATTGCTTGGATATTTTACCTTTAGTACAAAAACTAAAACATTTTTGCAAAACATGCAATGAAGAAATAAAGCCAAGTACAGCTGTTATCTAGCATACTAGTGACTCAACGTGTTAAACCAGATTTTGGACATGCCCTTTATTCTCATACTAAGACAAGTGTATTTTTCATTTTCATTTACTTACAACTGTCATTGAGTGCTAGATACACGTTCGACTCTTACTCTGCACATCATTTGTTTCTTGTAATACAAGTCAGCATGTTACAATGTAAGTAAGCCTTTTCTTCAATACATTTGAGTGAATTTAGTAATTGTAAAAAATTCTGTGTTTTGACTTGACAAAGACTGATAGTTGCAATAATGGCATCAATCTAATACTCGAGCTCAATTCCAACTCTTCCTTGTCAAATTAAATCACAAGAGTACAGAAAGGGATTTTTGGATTAGATAAGGGTTGTGGATTAAAGTTTCAATTTAGCATAATACAAAATTCAGTTTTCTCTTGACAAGATTTCAAAAGCTATGCATTATTTTTGTGATTTGTTATAGTGAAGAATGCAAAGGTGGAGAAATCTGGTGGAGGTGACAAGATCACTTTGGTGCTGCTGGGAAAGAACAGCAATGATAAGTCTATGATAGGGAATACCATATTAAAGGCAAACCGTTTCATAGCTAGCAAAAACACATGTACAAGAGCTGAAGAAAGTGTAGATGATCAGATGGTCTGTATCATCAACACTCCAGACCTTTTCCACAGGCCGAAGCCAGATAGAGAAACAGAGGAGAATATAGAGGAGATAAAAGTCCTATATCCAGGGCCACGTTTGTTTCTTCTGGTTCTGCAGAACAAACAGCTCTCACAGGAAGAGATGGAAATGTTCAGCCAGCTGAAAGCGAGATTTGGAGAGAAAATGGTGGAAAATACAATTGTAGTGCTAGTTAACAGTCAGGAGAAAAAATTGGAAGAACCATATGACCACGTGGATGAGAATCTCAAAAAACTACTAGATGAGTGTGGACAGAAAATGTGTCTTCATGACAAGAAAAATGATAACGAGCTGACCAATCTGGTAGCGAAAGAATGGAAGAGAATACATGAAATGCAGGTTAAAGAATCAAGCAACTCCGCAGCTCCTGAGAGGTAAGACGTGATTAAATCAATTAAAAAATAAAAGTCTCTGTACATAACTATAAATCCCTTTAGGCCTATAATTTAACCTGTAATATCATCTTAATCCTGTAGGATATATGAGGACATTGATGCGTATGTACAAATGAAGCAAACAAATGAAGCGTCATGGGTGTCTGAAAACAGCAAAGGTATATCTTACAAATTTCTCAACTTACTTTTCTCTGTCATCTAAAAGAATATGATCAAATCAACATGCCGTTTTTTTCTTATGTGCGTTTCACATCAACCTATCAAGTGATCTCAATACACGTGATTAAAGTTTACTTTTTTTACTTTTTATTATTTTTCATTCCATTTGTAAGCAGTAATGCTTATTTCCTATTTAACACATATTTACCACAAACAGCATAATGATTAAGGATCTGGGCTGTTCACAAAAGTTACAGTTGACTACAATTTACCAAAAGTACAAGATTATGATGAAAAGTGTCTGATAAATCAATGGTTATCAGGTGATATGTTCTGATAGGGTTGCAGACAACTGAGGGACAAAAACATACTAAATGCAAATAATGATAATGCAAGTCATGTACAGTAACATATGAAAGCGACATAAATGCTCAAAGAGTGCTCAATCAAAGAGTGTGTGTTCAACAATTTGGGATACATCAACATCAACATATTGGTGATATTCCCTCATCATCGAAATTATATGAAAATATGACCTGATTACATTAAATAGAAATTATGGACTTGGTATTGTGTTGGATCACCACTTGATGTCCAATGTGAAATCTGCAACTTTCAGCAAAACCAGGTGAAAACAACCATGTTAAATTATCAGAAATATTGTCCTACCAAGTTTGCCGCACACATCCTGAAAAGTGAAGCCAAAACATTTTGATAGCCATCTGATAGCTGGCTGCAGTATAGGTCATTAACCCTGCCCTCTCCATGTAAACGAATGGGACATAAGCCAAACTAAAAAAAAATCTAATTACACTTTGAATACATTTTTCCCAAATATGGTTTCCATCATTTTAGGTAGTTCTTATCACGCTGATGTATGTTCAAGTGTTAATTTTTCTAATAATTTTGCTTTTAATTAGTTATTTGAAGCTATACAAAGAGGTGTGGGGTCAAGATTGTGAGCTTGCAGTTGGGTCTGCAGATGTTTGGGGGGACTCGGGCTCCAACAGACGTCACTGGCGCAAGATGACAGTTTTCTGTAGTGGAAGGAAGTGAAGACGTGTCGTCCATCTTTTTTATAGTCTATGTGTCCTACATTATTTTTAAAACAATTACATTCTGCATTTAAACTGTGAAGTATGTTTTTTCAAAGATTTGTTCGAATTTATCACAGAAAAGTGCGTTCAGACATCTAGAAGTAAGGACATGATGACAGTGGTCCTGCTGGGGAAGATAAGCAACAACAAGTGTCTCGTAGGGAACACAATTTTTCAAAAAGATCATTTCCGATCAGAGAGGGTCCGCTGTGAGAAGATCGTGGATAATGTTGGTGGTGAGAAGGTCTGTATTATCAACACTCCAGACCTTTTTCATAAACCAAGCTCATCAGATCCAGAAGCTGACCGAATGGACGAGCTAAAGCCATCGTACGCAGGTCCACGTGTGTTCCTCCTTGTACTCCAGGACAGAATGGTGTCACCAGAAGAGATGGAGATGTTTACGAACGTAAAGAAGAAGCTTGGACAGAAAATGGTTGAACAAACAATTGTGCTGGTTAACGGTGATAAAAAGGTATCTTCAGCTTCAATGGACACACCATTGTCATTCAAAAAAGGCAACGAGATAATCCTGAATGAGTGTGGAAGCAGACTGTGTGTTTACAGCAAACACATGAAGAATACTGAACTAATCAAAGAACTGATGAAATACAAAGAAAGCATGAAGAACCAAACATCAGAAACTACAAG